AGTATGTATGGTCATTAAAGAGATTTACCAACGGCGAATTTGCGACCATTAAGTGACCACAAATATGTGGTCGCAAAAGGGCTCCAACGACCAGGAAAGATTGGACGCAAGTGTTTTTTGTAGTGGCCGTTGCCAATTAGGCTCAGGCTTGCAAGTTCGGCCAGGGCCACTAAAGTGTCCTCTCTAGTTTGATGTTCTTGGCTATGTGTTGACATATCGTTAGATTCCACTTGTCAATGTGCCTGATTTTTTTAAAATTTCACGTTTCAAACGTACGATGAGAAAAATGAATTTAACAAGCACTTGAGTGGAGCCATTAAAACTTACTGCAAAATAAACAGCTTTCTCTCTCTTTGGAAGATCTCTCACATGCTGTGGTTTCGACGATTGTCAAATCTGTAAACTAGAACTTTGAATTTACCCATTAGCAAGATATATTCTTAGTCCTACAAGCACTTCACAGTGGGTTTACAATTTATTCCGAAATTGATTTAAATCCAAGAAAAATAAGCTACCAGTTTTTCATGAATAATATTCCTTGTTTCATATCTACTTATTCCTTTCTGTAAAAAGGTATCTTTTAAATGTGACAATATAAGCATACTTCACATCAGCACAGAAAATTAAAAGAACATAACAAAATTCCTTTCAGATGTCAACCTCAATTAGGAAGCTAAACTATATAAAAACATGGTCAGATTAAAGCATCCATTTCATCCTGCAGGGTTCTGTTTTCTTAATCATCTGATAGCACCATGGGAAAATCGGCACATTGGACAGGACGACTGAATTGAATGGTGACCACATCTATGAGACTATCGTCCAGCATGTAAATCTCTGGTCAGTGCCCTGCATCTTTAGTTCCTCGCAGATTTCGGTTCTCTCTCTTTTAGTTGTTTTTATTTTTCGCTGTGTTTATTATTATGTGGCAGTTATTTTATCAACATATGAATGAAGCAACTAGTGATTGAAAACTATAATTGTTTTTACGCCAGCTTGGACATGAGGATTGGAATGAAGATTCTCATCCAGCAACGAGAATTCTGGTTAGTACCCTACATCTTTAAATTCTCATGTCCATGAAAAAGCTAGTAAAACAAACATTATAATTGCTTTAAACTCTTCTGGCCGTCACTGAAGTGATCTATCTTCTTGTAGTTTTCTCTAAGTCAATTATGCGTCGCTTCATTGTTTTGATCTGAATATAGATTCATAGAACACCTACACATACGATATTGGAGGACAGACCGACAAGACGACATTCTGGCTCAGTCAGGTAAGAATCCCCTGCATACCAAGATTAGGACTTAAATATAGGAATAACTGTCCTTTTTGAGTCGATTAATAATAAAAAGGCGACCCAGAAATGTCCTCAGTCCTCAATATTCTTAGTTTGTCACGAAGCAATAAATTTTGTTTTCTCATTATTCTTAGTTTGTCACGAAAAAATAAATTTTGTTTTTATTTGAAGACTTTCACAAATCATAAATTGGAAACTGTTAAAGCAGCATATTGAGTTTAAATTATTTATCCTACTGGTTTTCATTCAGTTAACTAAATATTATGTTCAAAATTGATCATTTAAGTTTTACTTAGTACTCGAACTAGATTTAAATATAAATAAGATCGACCAGAGTTAAGGATAAAAGCACGTGAGGATGATTAAAGTAAAGACAGATTGATGTATAGAAAAGCCCACTTCTTTCTGCAGCTCTTTGCCACCGGCACCAACTTATTCTCCCAAGAGATTTCTCCTCATGGAAAATGATACTGCACGAAATACCTACCCCTTGTATAGATAGCCAGTACCTCATTCTCCACCTCCAAGGTACAATCAGCCACATTACTAGCGCCCCCCCCCCCCCCCCCCCCCCCCCGG